GGGAGGGGTGGGGATTAACGTGGCTCCACAGCCCTGCGCTCTCAAAACTCTTCCCTAGTTGGTGATGTTGTGCTGTCCCGCTCAAGGTTCAGCTGAAAACAGTCGTCTGGATTCACTCTAAGCAAAAACCCTATCTTCTGAGAGGGTCCTTCCGTGGGCCTCGATTTCCTTATCTCCCCGAAGATTTATTTAAGGGAAATTCCACATGCAGAACCTCATAGGGCACACAGGTTATGTTATGGTGGGCTTGTAATTGTACCTATAAACCCTGTAGCTGGCAGAGAGGAGCTGAGGAGGAGGTCAAGCTGCTGTGTGGTTTCTCTGCAGTAGCTTATCAGAAGGGTAAAGTAGATGCTTTGGAGATTCCTTCGTGCTTAGCTCTTTTCTCTTCCACCCCCTAACCCTTAGTTAGGGAGTTCAGGTGTGGTTTTCAGTACAGATTATTGGCCACTAGAAGCGAGCTGAAAGCTACGTAATACCTTAATGTTGAAATAGGCCCATGGACCAAAGAATCTTCTCCCCAGCCTATTCTAGGCCATTCTGCAGACTACTCTTCTTCCCTCCTCACCTTTTAAGTATCCAGCTGGGGTGGATTCTGCATTCTTTTGTTTTAAAGTTCTCTCTTGAAAGGTTTCCATGACCTGCCCAACTATCTGTAAAATTAGTGCCACTCAATTGACTTTCTGGAGGATATACTGGAGCCTTAAGCCGGTTTCCAACTCCCTCACGTATCAGTGTGTCATTAGATTGAGTGCTGCCTAAGTGGCAGAATTCAGTGATAGCTTTCAGTTTTATATTGCTGACGGGATTCGTGGTTTCTATGTATAATTATTTTGCAGCAGGCTAGTGATCTTTTCAAAACGTAAATCAAAACATACCACTCTCCTACTGAAAACCCTCCAGTGGCTTTCCATTGTACTTTTTTTTTTTTTTAATGTTAGTTAGTTAGTTTTTGAGAGAGAGAGAGAGAGAGCAGGAGAGGGGCAGAGAGAGAGGGAGGCACAGAGTCTGAAGCAGGCTCTGGCCTCTGTGCTGCAGCGCTCACACTTCACAAACTGTGAGATCATGACCTGCACCAAAGTCGGACTCTTAACCGACTAAGCCCCCTAGGCACCCATCCCTTGTACTTTAAATACAATTCTGACATCTTTCTGGCTTACAGAATTCTACATGACCTGGGCTCTGCCCACCTTTCTGACTTCATCTTGTACCATGCCCCCAGCACTCACAAATCCTTCAGGCCCACAGAACTTCTTTCTGTTCTTATAAACACAAAGCCATTTCTACCTCAGGGACTTTGCACTTGCCGTTTCTTCTCTCTGGTACATACTTGCCCAGATCCTCGAATAGTTGGTTCCTTCTCATTATTCAAATATCACATCCCATGTCACTCTCTCAAAAAGGCTTTCCCTGACCAGCCAGTCCAACAAACAAACCAACCAACCAACCAACCTTTTTTCTAGATCATTCATTTCCACATCACCCTGTTTTATTTTCTTCACAACAATTGCTGCAGTCTGGAAACTTTTTAAATTATCTATGTGCTTATCATCGGTCTCCCCCAGGAGAATTCAAGTTCCACGAAACAGAGGCCTTGTGTGTTTTGCTCATTGCTGTATCCCCAGTGCTGGGGACAAAATATTTGTTAATGAATGAATACATGGCATATGATATAAGTTCAAAGCTCTCTATCGCGTTTGCTAAATGACCCATGATGATTTTCAGTCATATGCCTTTCAAGACAAAAGTTTTCAAAAATATAACAGTTCCTGGATGCTTGGCTATTGGACTCTGAGTAATTTATTTATCCAAGTATTACTGATGGCTAGACATTATGCTGAGCTCTGGGAATATAAAAATAAATAAGACTATAGCCTCTGCCCTCAGGGATCTCATAGTCTAGTGGGGGGAATGTACACATAAATAATTGCAAGACAGGGGGGGTATATGCTATGACAGAAGTTTGAATTGGGTGTTGTGGCAACACCAAGGAGGAAGAGTTCATATCTTTGGTGCTGGAGTAGGAATGGAGGTGGTTCAAGAAAGTAGTCTTAGAGGAAGTCATATGTGAGCTGGGTCTTGATGAACGATGAGGGCAGGAGTACATTCTAGCATGTGTGGCATATGGGAAAGAGAATGCACATTGACTATTCTGGAGATGGCAAGTTGAAGACTGTTACCGGGACACCGGATGATTGTGGAAGATGAGGCTGGAAAAGAAGCAAGAAATCTGTTGAGCTGAAAGTAGTAATCATCTCAACTGGAGTAGGGAGCAGCTGTAGGATGCTCCCCGTCTACACTCTACTCCTTCCCGCAAAAAGTAGATAAAGGTGCCACCTGAGAGTTAAACTAGGAAACTTCACATGCAAAGGGGTATGATTAGACATCTGGAAATCCACCAGGAAATGATCCGTAAATGTGGGACTGGAAATGTTGGGAGCTCTCAAAGCTCTGCTCAAGGTGATCTGGGACAAATCTTAAGGAAGCAGAACTGGAATGCAATTATAATTTTGTAAGTGGAAACCAAATTAATTGTATTATACACTGCTTGGAGTGAATAGAAAATGGTTGGCCAGCTAGAAGCAAAGAAATGACCGTAACAAGCCAGCTCCATCCAAAAGAATGCTCTTGGCCAAGTGAACCCAGCATTATGGGTTCATTGGCAAGGCTGGCCCTATAGTTGATGAAAATGCCTCCAGTTGCTTGATCTGAGAGACCCATTCTTATGATCAACTAACTCCCCTTCTTGTGATTTTATGCTCACCAAGCAATCTTTTGATAATTTATTTGGCTCGCCACACAACTTGCGCACAGGGAAAGAATACACTGATCTGCCTACTCAAGCATTTTGGCCTGTTAACAATTGTATTTCTCATTGTAAATTAATGAATTGGCATCCTAAGGTTGAATTAGGATGCCAATATATATATGGAGGACAGGCAGATATAGATATAAATACAAATGTTTAGAAGTCTCTCTGTATTAAAAAGGCATGTGAGCCTGCTTCAGTTGACTTTACCTTCTTGAATTCACTCAATCCAGACTTCCACCTCTAGCCTTGCAACTCAGAAAGTTACTTTTGCCTCTACACTGAGAGTCCAGCCATCTCCTGCAAGGCTTTTGAAGGGAGCAAATTGGCGTTCCCTGGGTGACAGGGACCTCTGCATTTCTGTGTCCTGCACTCCAAAGTTTAATAAGAGGATAGTGTTCATTTTTCTGTGTTTGTTCTCAAATATGCCATCTGTATTGAGGAGTTCAGTTTGAGAGAATGAACATTGCTGTACAAAGGTGTGTGGACAGAAACTATTCTGGTGTTTTGTTTTATTCTTTCTTCCAGTTCTCAAAATCAGACTTTGAGGAAAGGATCCTGGTATGGGTGGTTGGTTTGGGAGGTAGTTAGTTTCAGGAAGCACAAAAAGGGAATAAGGAAGGTGAGAGAAAGAAGGGAGAAAAGCTAGTCATGAGCATGTTAATGAGCAAGTTACCCCTGGGCAGACGGGACTCAGTTCTGCTGGGGGACTTTCTTTTTTCTTTTTAATTTTTAAATGTTTTTTTATTTATTTCTGAGAGAAAGAGAGAGACAGCGTGAGCAGGGGAGGGTCAGAGAGAGAGGGAGACGCAGAATCTGAAGCAAGCTCCAGGCTCTGCGCTAGCTGTCAGCACAGAGCCCGACGCGGGGCTCGAACCCACGAACCGTGAGATCGTGACCTGAGCCGAAGTCGGATGCTCAACCAACTGAGCCACCCAGGTAACCCGGGGACTTTCTGAGAAACCAGGTAGAACATGTCTCACAATCTTCCCACTGGAGGACAGAGAGTTTCCTTCCATGATATTTATGCAGGGGCTTCTGTCCCCACTGGTCGAAGGTTAGTGCCAGTGGTGTAAACTGTCCTGCGCTTCCAGTGCCTGGCTGAGTCAGAGCAAGCTGCCACCTTGCCAGAGCAAGACTCTGGCAGAGAAGGGACACAATCCACTTGAGATGGAAGACTGTCAGGATGCTGGAAACTTCAGCTGCAGGTGAAATCAGGTGGGCCAAGGGACCATGGGATGGCATCAACAGGATCTGATGCATCATTAGGAACAAATACAATAGACCTGGAGACTCCATTGGGCACAAGAGCAAAAGGATATGAACTGGCAAGTGGTACACACAAAAATGTAAATGGCCACCAATTATATTTTTAAGCATTTAGACTTGGTAGTAATCACTGAACTGTAAATAAAAATGAGATGCTATCTTTTTTTTGCCTGTCAGAATAGCAAGGCCTTTTTTCCAATTAAAACAAACAAACAAACATGTATTAATGGGGTTACATTGCAGGTGGGATTGGGAATTGCTCAAAACTTCTGAGAAGCAGGTTTTCAGTATGTATCAAGAGCCTTGGGGCACCTGGGTAGCTGAGTCAGTTAAGTGTCCGATCTCGGCTCAGGTCATGACCTCATGGTTTGTGAGTTTGAGCCCCATGTCGAGTTCTGTGCTGACAGCTCAAAGCCTGGAGCCTGCTTCAGATTCGGTGTCTCCCGCTCTCTCTGCTCCTCCCCTGCTGACGCTCTGTCTCTGTCTCTCTTGCTCTGTCTCAAAAATAAATATACATTAAAAAAATTTTTTTAAAAAGAGCCTTACCAATTTTTGTTTTTCAACTGAGTAATTCCTGATAAAAGATAAAGACATTGCCTTCTGTGTTGTTTATCACAGTAAATGTCCAATAATAGGGGAATGGTTGAAATTATTATGTTATAATCCTATGATAAAAAAACAGAAAGCCATAAAATCCTGTTTTTAAACATTTAGTGATATTGAAAATGCTTGTGGTATTCTAAGTTAAAAAGCATAATCCCAAACTGTACAGACAGTGTGAGCCCAACTATTACTTTTTGATTCAGAGATGATATAAATTATAAGACATAGGTTCATTAACAGCTTTGGGAAAAATAAACACTACCTTTATTTTATTTTAAAAAACCTTTTTTAGCATTTATTTATTTATTTATTTATTTTTCTCTGTTGGATGGTTGGTCTTGAGCCTGCAGGGAGCAAGCTGACCCCAGACTTCTCCAAATCCAGGTTTCTTTTCCTCCAATTCTTACGTGTCTAAAGACAGGGAACTACAGACACGCCTTTGTGGGAGGGTAAGCATTAATTTCTTTTTGAGAGAGAGACAGAGTGTGAGTGGGGGAAAGGTGGGAGGGGGAGGGGGGCGGAGACAGAATCCTAAACAGGCTCCAGGCTCTGAGCTGTCAGCACAGAGCCTGACGAGGAGCTTGAACTCATGAACTGCGAGATCGTGACCTGAGCCAAAGTCAGATGCTTAACCAACTTAGCCACCCAGGTGCCCCTAAGCGCTACCTTTAATATACCTACATTTTAATTTACTGAGTAACATACGTATATCCATATGATTGTATACCACCTTTTTTTCAAGAACACGCACAAAAAGAGAGTCTAAGCTTTCTTCACATTCCAGAGTTTAAAGATTCTTCTGAATTAGTTTTGGCCATTGGCAGTGAAGCAGCGTATTGTGGTGACATGCAGCTGTTTTTCATAACCCTGGCTTGTAATGATGTGACAAAATCATATTGAAGCATGTAGAAGAATCCTGGGAGTTCATCTGCATTTCTTGTTTGATTAAACTCATCGTCGCTTTTTTTTTTTTCTTTTCTTTGGATTTTTTTTTTTCCAATTCAATTACATTAGCTAGAAATCAATCAGCTTTTCTTGAAAGTCACTCAGAAGCTTTTGACAGATAGATGTTCAGTGCCTGAGTAACAGTCCCTCACAATGCATGCAACGGTCACACCAACCTTTCCTAGCTTTGAAAATTTTATGATCTATTCCAAGAGATTTGGCAATTTCTACTGCCTTTAATTGCATTGTCTGGCATATGACAGACAATCTTCTGCAGACACAATAATTTTTCATTTCAATGATGCATCATAGTGTAATTTTGAGGAGGCATTTTAAGTGACAATTAGGGAGAAAGCCAAATTTAAGTTAAAAATTTAACCATGAGCAGTGCTACCAAGACAAATAATTCAACTGAGGTGACAATCAGATGAACAGATACCCTGTATGCCCAGCTACGTCTGCACACACATAAGCAATGACAACAACATCAGAGTGAATTCCTCTGCCTGGCCATTTGCAAGTCACGTTTGATATCCATTATGAGATGCATCCTGATTTCAGAAATGAAGAATATGTATCTTAGAAAGTAGGAAAGGGCATGAAACATGTACACATTCTGTATACAAGCACACATATGCACACAGAAAAAAGGCAAAAAGTAAAGGAAGGTCATGCTTACAGCGGCTGTCTCTGGGTGGTAGAACTGTGGGTTGTGTGTTTGCTTATCTTCATTTTTGCTTTAAGTTTATTTTTGGGAGAGACAGAGCATGAGCAGAGAAGAGGCAGAGAGAGAGAGGGAGACACAGAGTCTGAAGCAAGCTCCAGACTGAGCTGTCAGCACAGAGCCCGATGCGGGGCTCAAACCCACAGATCAAGAGATCATGACTTGAGCTGAAGTCAGAAACTTAACCAACTGAGCCATCCAAGCACCTCATGGACTGGTCCTTGTATTTTGAAGGTGGTTGCTCCCCTATTGGGAGAATAAAAGTTGGAATAGAGCTGCACAAGCTTGAATCGGAGTTGGACAGATAACTTGGAGGACCACAGTCATCTTTGGACCTTCCTGGCCCAAGAGAACAAATAAACAAGTACTCTCAACCCAGGGAGGACTTAAAGTGAAGAAAGAAATCAGAAACTCTGAGGTCACATTTGTCATTCCAGTCCAGTTTCTAATTCGTGACAGAATTTTGACAGGTCACTTACCTCTCGTACTTGTTTCCTGACCTATACATGAAGACAATACTTTCTACCCTTCCTCTTCCTGGCAATGGCAGAAATGCAGTTTAAAACATTGATCAAATAGGGGGTGCCTGGATGTCTCGGTCAGTTAGGCATCTGACTTGGGCTCAGGTCATGATCACGGTTTGTGAGTTTGAGCCCCGTGTCGGGCTCTGACTTGACAGCCCAGAGCCTAGAGCCCGATTTGGATTCTGCGTCTCCTTCTCTCTCTGCTCCTTCCCCACTTGCACTCCCATCTCTCTCTTAAAAATAAATAAATATTTAAAAAGATTTTAAAAAACCATTGATCAAATAGTGTACAGTCTTATTTGTGTTCCCATAAGCAATGCAAATATTGGTCAATAATCCATTTATGAGCGAGTGACTATTTGAGGGCTGATGCTTGCAGACTGTTTTTGTCCTTACAGCCCATTTATTAGAAGGATCTCACCAGAAACTTTCCCTGTGGTGTGTGGGGGGTGCAGGAAGGGGTGGAGGTTGGGGAGGGTGGAGGTGTGGGTATGTCTGGGGGTTGTGAGGTGGGGAGAGTGAGTGCAGGATGTGGGTGGGTGGGAGGAGAGGTGTGTGTGGGTTGTAATTGTGTGCGTGTGTGTGTGAGTGTGCGCACACATACATAATGGGAAACAGAAGTGGGGGTGGTGGTGAGCAGAGAGCCATGTGGTAGAAAATCTGCACACAGGTCTGTTTCTGGAGCTTGAGGGAAATGCCAGGACATGTGCAATTTCTGTCCCTGGGTCCAGGCAAATGAATTCTATACTGGGAGCCCTTGGGGGGCACTACCCAGCTTAGAGAATTGAATTTCAGCTAATTAATGTGGCCCCAGCCCCCCACTACCCACTGATGGGGAAAGGGCCTGGGCAATCTGCTCCACCTTGCATACTCCTGCTAAGTCTTAAAGCAAAGTGGGGTGATGGGGTGGGGGAGCAGGGTTCTCAGTGCGGAGCTCTGGCTCCAGGCAGCAGAAGTGTGGTGCGATGTGAGGAGAGGAAGCAGAGCTCCCAGAACCTCACCCAGCCCTCAGAAAATATGCGCCGACAGGTAGCAATACCTCAGTTCAGTTGATCTTCCGAACAGCCCAAGGTTGTCACAGCCTGATTTGGAGGAGTCTGGACTGCTTGGTTTATGTCTAGCATGGTATAAACAGTCAAAAAACTAGTAAGTGCTGTTATTCTAATCACCATCGCTGTTATCCCCACCACAGAAAGGGCCTGCTAATCAATACCCTGCTGCCCAACCCCCAACCCCCACTGTCCTATCCTGGGACCTTAAGCCCCTCCCTTGAGGCAAAACAGTGAAGATGCTCTTAAGATGCAGGTACTTTCTGGGAGACGATCTGCCTCAAACCCTTCTCATCCGTCAATAACTTGGCAGTGTGAGGGCACCGGGCAGCTGGGCGGGGGACCCAGAGAACTGTGTCTCAAGAAGCAGGGGTTCAGAAATGAGGCTGCTGGGCCTCTGACAAGGCCAGCCTGTAATGTAGGTAAGCAGGGCGCTGGAGGGAACTGAACCAAGACCCAAGACCTCAACCCAGGCTGGCTCCCTGCCCAGGTCCGGAGGGATCAGGAGCAGGGGAGAGAGAGAAACAGTGTAAGCCAAGAGGAGCCTCAGGATCTCAGCCTCAAAGCCCAGATGATCCCAGGTTTTGAGAGGGAGATTTGATGCAGACTGGTAGAGGGAGTATGATCTTCCCCTTCCTGGGCTCGTGAGTGCCATGAAGTGTGTGGATGACTAGATGGGGAGGGAGGCTTTTGCTCACCAGCAGCAAGCTGGACGCTGCTTTCGACCAGCCACCAGGACACAATAATTGATTGCCTTCTTGCTGCAAAACCAGAATGGCTTTTGATGTTCAGCCATTCATTGCCGTAACTGGAATAATAACACAATTCATTTTAGCTGCAGCCCTGCAAATGGATGGCTTTAATAATGGCTAATTTGGGATGATGAATGTGCCATTTGGGGGTGACATTAGTGCTGAATAAGGAGAAGGGCGTGCAAGAGATGGTGGAAGGGATGAGTTGTATAAGACTAGCCATGTTGCTAACTACCAAGTCTGCAAGCCCTTCAATTCCACTCCTCAGTATTGATTTAACAAGCATCCATTCCCTATGTAGCACTGGCCTGAGTGGTAGGGGAGATTTGGAGAAGGTAGATGACTAGGGTGACCACATGTCCGGGTCCCCCGGGACAGTCCTGGTTTATACTGGAATCAGGTACAAATATTAACAGCACCCCCAGTCTTGAAAGTGTTTCGGTTTGGGAGATAAATTATATTGTCATTCTGTGTGGCTCACTCTCTGCTTTTCATAAGCATACAGCTTTTCTGGGAAGATAAGACTTATTTATGCTCATGGCACAATTACAGCGTATCAGGAGACAGTATGTAACCGATAGATGAATCAAATAAGCACAAGCACGAACCAATGTTTACAAGTTTGAAACCAATGGTGGCTGTGAATTTCAACACTGAAGAAGAAAGACTCTTATATGCATGGGGATGATAAACCTCAATACCTTACTTGATCTTCACAGCAACCTTAATGGGACCCCCATCTGGTAGATGAAGAACTAGAGGCCCAGAGAAAGGAATTGATTGCACAAGAGCTAGTAGTTAATGGAGTCAGGATTGGAATCCAAGACGGTTTTAATTTAAAAGCCAACTCTGTTCCCGCTTCAGAACAAACAAAACCGACATTGGTGCTGGACGGAGAGAACAAGGAAGCCCAAGAAAGAAGTGTAGTATCACCAATCCACAGGTAAAAGGGAATACAGTAAAAAAATAAAAAAAAAAAAAGGAAGATATAAGGCTGCAAAGAGAGAGTAAAGAAATTTAATTGAGGTGAGATTAATCAAGGATGATTAAAGGTGGTGAGTTTTGCACTAGGATTGAAATTACTGATGAATATGGATTAACAGAGAGCAAAGAAGGCTTTCACATGCACGGGGGTGATAAACCCCAAAATCAGGGTGTTATTTCTTGGGAGAGGGGTAGTGGATGGGAATAGGGTAAACAGGAAATGCCAATTATAGTTGTAAGGTTTTTAAAAAATGTTAATGTTTATTTTTGAGAGAGAGAGAGAGAGAGAGAGAGAGCACATGAGCAGGGTGAGGGGCAGAGAGAGGGAGTCACAGAATCTGAAGCAGACTCCAGGCTTTGAGCTGTCAGCACAGAGCCCAATGCAGGGCTCCAACTCATGATCTGCGAGATCATAATCTGAGCCAAAGTTGGATGCTCAACCAACTGAGCCACCCAGGTGCCCTGTAAGGTT